CGCGTTTGGCGCCATTTTCAAATTTATCGATTTTTCCCGCCAGTTCCTGAAATTCTGCTCGGATGCATTCGAGTCTTACGTAACTCTCTGCTTATCGGGTTTTTATTTGCACCACGTTTAATGGGAAGAAACCATATCTTACATTTTATCTTATCATTACATCATATTAATTATATTATATTATTTAATATATAATAATACATTATATCATATGTATATCTATTCTATCATAAATTTTTTCTGTAAAATTTGCCGGGATTTCTACGATGGAGCGAAAAAAGAGGGGGGGGGGGGGAGAAACAGGCTCTGGAGTGGAATACACCCAGGATTTCATTCCAATATTTTCAGCAACGCTGTTTCTTGTCAGTTGTCGATCCCCTGTTCACACCTAAGATTTCCAATGGAGAATTTGCACACAAATTTCTTATTGCTACATCTGAAAGTGCTCAAGGAGCTGATTTCACAGTGTTTTTTATGATTTTTTCCTAATATGAGAAATAGTATAAAAAATATTTAAAAGTGAGAAAATGCACCGCCTAGTGACGCAGATTAGATCATTTTGTCATATCTTCTCCAATAATTGTTCAATTCATGAAACAAGGGTGTCCTCGTGTTCAGTTCTCTCAGTGGTTTCCACTTAAACACGAAATTCATCAAATTGCAGACACCTGCACATTCTCTATTCCATTTAAGAACATAAGTTTTAACTTATCGTTCTCATTGTCAATACGGGTCCCCTCCAGAAATTCTAATCAGCTCGCTACGAAACGCGAATAATTTTCAGAGAATAAGAGGCGGAAAACCGCATCTATGCAAATACGCAACAAAATGCTCACTCCTCACGAGTTGTGAGTTTTAGCACAAGGTTAACAGACAGTGTCGCGGTGAATTCTCTTTCCCGAGTGTAGCCTTCTCAGATGTGCAACAGTGGCGTGGCGTGCCTTGCGATACATCAATTGATCCGCCATTTAAAGCTATGTGAAAGAATCGATAGACTGTGTTCGCAACGAACACTTTTAACAATCGATTCTTCACCACAGCTTCAAATGGGGAAGTATCGATAATCGATCATTCACGCCTCGCCACAGGTGTGCAGCACTGATCAAGCGCAGTAATGAATGTGCGTATTTGTCTAGCGAAATTGATTGCTCCACTAATTTGCGAGTCTCGTCTTGCTTCAATTTGCCAATTGCGAGTTGTTTCCGCGACCGGGTTGAATCCCCTTGATTCGCTGCGTGGGAGGTTTCACTTGCGTAAACATCGTCGTCCCTCTGACATGAGGGCGTATGTCAATTTCGCGTGAGCCCTGTTTTACATATGAATCTATGCTTTCTGTGGCTCATCGGAAATCGAGATACGCCCTTACGTCAAAGGAGCGACGACATGTGAATCGTTTGAGATTACCGTCGCGTTCGAATATCGAAAGTTCGGGGGTTGCCTCAACGATTGTTGAACCGGTGGCCTTGGCGGAGGAGATGCACTGCACTGAAAAAAAATTCTCGGCGTTTTTACCAAGGTCCGTTGGTACCTACACCATCTCACTTTTTATACCAGTTATTGGTAATTTTACCAAGACAGGCTGATAAACTTACCTAAAAACCGGTATTTTTACTGTTTTTTTTTTTTCAGGTAAGAAAACCACTTCTATTGGTAATCAATTCCCGGTAACTTTGCCATTTTATCTCGATAATTCTACCACAGTCGATAAAAAATATTGGCGTTTTTACCAAGGTCCAGTAAAATTACTGAGAAAGTTCAAAACTTTACCGAGATTTCTCGGTAAAATTACCAATTCCATAAATGGTAATTTTACCAAGAAAAAACTAGGATCAAATAGAACCCTGAATTCTTGGTAATTTTACCCTTTTCTTAGTAAATACACCGAGATTTTTTTCTCAGTGTGGTTTAAGGTTTATCCACTTTTAAACACTGGCAGTAAATAAAAATTTAGGTGTCAAACAAGCTTTGCACGATTATTTGTTTCGTTATTAATTATTTTTTTTTTTGGGGGGGGAGGGGGGGGGGGTT